GAGGTGGCCAGGTAACGGTGTCTTCTGGAAGAGTGATTGACATGGGCTACATTGAAGGTAGGAAAGACCAGGTGCAGGAGGGAGTGCTGTTGAGTAAAGATATGGGACTGGAATGCGGTAGTGGGGGAAAGGAAACATGGCGTTGTAGTGGGGCCTTTTGGACTTGGCGCCAGGAATTGAAGAGGAAATCGCCTGGTGGAATTTTGCACGCAGTATGATTTAATCATTATTCTTGGAGGCGCCAGGTGATAGCCTAAGGTACCGAATCGACTATATTCCAATTAAGCAAAAATGTAGAAACAAAAAAAAAGACTGCAGAACTTTTACAGGGTCAGATGTGGACAGTAGCCATAATTTAGTGCTAGGCAGGGTGTTAGGTATATGCGACCTCAAATTCAAAAGACTGAAAAAAGAAAGCTAATCACACATGGGATTTATAAAGGTTAAAATCTGAGGGTGTAAGAGTGGCCCATAGCGAAAAGTAAAAATATCTGGGAAGACAGGAATAGAGGATATATAGAAAAGATGCGTGAACTTGAAAATTAGTATGATAAATAGCGCAGAAACAGAAATAAGTCGACAGAAAGCACATACTAGGAGAAAGTGGATAACGGAAGAAATTAGTGAGAAAATAGGGAAGAGAAGGAAGTTGAAACAAGACCATCCAGAGGAAGGAAAAAGACAATACGTAGCAATAAGGAATGAAATACACAGAGAAGCAAAACAGGCAAAGGAAAGGTTCTTGGAAGACCGTTGTAAGGCACTTGTGGTAATAAAAGAGGGAAAATTCGAGAAAGCATTCGAAACAATTAAGCATTTGTTTGGAAAACGTAGGACAAAGTGCAATTGCTTAAATAATGATGATGGTTCAATTTTGTATACAAGGCAAGTAAAGGCCATTTTGAAATGTCTGGTCTGCAGAGTTACGGATGGGTTGTCGGGCATGCGCATCACATTTCTACATCTGTTGGTAAGTGCCACCCGTCATTATGGTCCTATTCGATAGTGTTAAAGTGTTTAAAATGCCCCCTCCCAGCGCAAGTGCCGCCAACTGTGAAGTACGCGGTGTGATACGCTTTCTTAATTTAAGAATTTTAAGATTGAAGAGAAAAGACGGGAAAATAACCTATTTAAGAAACCGTGATTCAGTAACCGTTCACGAAACGTGTCGTAAAAACTATGGCATTGAGAAGTACTCCGCAGAGTATTATCGTAAGGGCTCTCCACGTGCCGCTTAAGAGACTACGATCAACACCAGGTGAAAACACATCCTGTTTCCAAAACACTACTTGCTTTTTTATCTTGTAAGTGCAAGGCGGCTTGTGGTAGAGCCTGCGGATGCAGGAAAGCAGGAATGAGATGTTCAATGATTTGTGGTGTCTGCAATGGGCAGACTTGTGAAAATATCAGCCAAGTGACTCTGGACGAATCCGATGAAGAAGACCTCCATTCGCTGCTTGATGATTCTTTATCGACTGCAGAAGGAGAGTCCGACGAGTTGAAGGAAATCGAGATCCATTCTGAAGCGGAGGTAACCATTTTCCCCGTTGAAGATATGGAAATCAACGAGCAAGGTCCGTCTGGCCTTTGTCAAAGATAATTTTAATACCTAAGTGGATTGGGCCTACAGGGGAAACCACGTTAAAAAAAACGCGCCGTGTATAGCATTTTAAATCGAAATTAATTGATTATAAATTATTAACATGGATTAATTAATGAATTAATCGATTAATTGACTAAAAGATACGCCATTATTTCGTAATAAATATTTACTAGGAACATATCTTATAGGAAACTTCCTCCTCTTTAATTTTGCGCTCTACATGCTTTTTCGAAAAACGCATAGTTTTGGAGATATTTACAAAAAACCGTTTTTGGGCGCTGGCGACATGTCTCGGATTGTGCATTTTGTGAATTTTAGTTCTAGATCCCAAAACCTATAAACCCACAAAGTTTCAAAACTTCCGGACTTATTTCCCGGTAACAATCCCCAATGAGTGGCCTATAAGCCATAACAAATTTTGACAAAGTGGAGGGGGGCTAAATTAATGTTTTCCAAAGTTACGTCTTTTAATATGCTCTTTGCATTACGTCATACCTTTCATTACGCGCTCAAATTAACCGTAAAGAGAAATCTTTGTGCCATTGTAGTTTTTTAAGAACCCGTTGCGTTGTATACAGGGTGCCCGAAAAGTTTGGAATATAGGACATTCTTTGTAACAGTGAATGCAATCAGAAAAAGATGCCTTTTTAGAATATTTTATTGAAGCACGTTGGTAGATACGAAAATCTATTTCTTGTCAACAGCCTCTCTTTTCACCACGTCCGTTTTCCTTTGCGTTTTTGTACTGTTACGTTTTCCCTCTACCTCAATTGCGATAGCTCAAACCACACAGCAGATACAGTCAGTAGTAGTAATTCATCGGAATCCATTATCGCACAAGATAAAATTCGTATGGTTGTGAGATTCTACAGAATAATGTTTTTCAAGGGTCATGTGCCAGTTTCAACCCCGGAATTTTTTTGGTGTTCCGCTGGCAGAATTGTAAATAAGAAGTTGATTTACTAGTTTGTTTAGAAACTTTTTGGTCTTTCTTCTTGCAGTTTTTCCCTAAATTTATTAGTATACCAGAAAGCTGGATGAACATAGGCACTAGAGGGCGTCCCTGTTGTTTAATGGACGACGTCGGTCGTTCAGATCTTGTGCGGAAGCATATTTGTAATGGGCAAAGGCATCCGTATGCATGCGAAAATTGACCCTCCCCACAACTATTTGGGAATGCGAACTCAGTTTAATCACGATTGAATGTATGCCATAATGGTTTAGTGGTAAGGCCTGCGACTGGCGGCTCGCGTTCGATTCTTTGCATGAAAAATTTTTTTTTACAAAAATCCGTATTCCAATTCAGCGAAATTGGACATTATGTTAAATTTGTCGAATACGACCGTGTATGATCACGTGAAACGTCTTGGTTTTCTTTCAAAATTTGATATATGGGTTCCATATATTCTTACACAGCGAAATTTGCTCCGTCGCATTAACGGCTGCGATTTGCTTCTCAAACGTCAAGAACGTGATCCATTTTTGAAGCGAATCATTACTGGCGACGAGAAATGGGTTGTTTACAAAAATGCTAAGCGCAGTAGATCATGGAGTAAAAAAGGTGAACCAGCTCAAACCACTTTGAAGGCCGATATTCACCAATAAAAAGTTATATGCTATTTGTTTGGTGAGATTTTAAGGGGATGGTTTTTTTTCACCGGACAATACCACGATTAATTATGAAAGAAAGGCTAGAATTTATCAATAGAAAAGGTCTAGTGTTCCACCACGATAATGTGACACCTCACACAAGTCTTGGTAATCCGCCAAGAACTTTTACAGCTTGAATGGGATGTACTACCACACCCACAATCATATTCTCCAAATTTGGGACTTGTTTAGACGGGAAAAATCTTCACTTCAAATCGGGACGTCAAACTTCACTTGGACCAGTTTTTTGCCAGCAAAGATCAAAAGCTTTATGAGCGTGGAATCAATTTCCTGTCCGAAAGATGGCAAAATCTTTGCTGAAGGGGGACAAGAAAACGATCACATCATTTGTAATATGAGGGATGCTCTCTGTCGCAATATAAGCAAGATTCTGCGCCAATCCCGGACGTACTCTGGAAACCCGGCAGAGGTGACACTACGTTACCAAGGGTTTCCTTTTTGTTTTCAGGATTCGACTCGAACACGCAACTGAAGTATGTACGCGAATCATGCGTTAGTTATTAGGTGCACATCCAATACCGAAGGCGGTCATACCAATGTAATCTAGACCATCGGTGTATAACCATATCTGTTACGGAGGTTGTTCCCTTTAGTTGGTAGGTGTGGAACGGCACCTACAAATCGTCGAGTTCCTGATAGTTACTCGGGAAGAAAGGCATGCAAAACACGATGCTCTCCAACACCAACTCGTCGTCCCACCGATATCCATTGATCCTTCTTGCGAAGGACAACGGGAGGGATATGTTCAGAAGCTGACGAGTCTTGGTAATCACTAACAATTAACGCGGCGCCTGCTGCCACTATAGATAAAGCGTCTGGAAAAACTTACGCAGGAATACACTTTATAGGTCCACAATGTAAATTTGATGGAATTACAGATCGTGCCTAATTCTAACGTAACAACGTATAATTAGTGTCGCACGTATGTCATTAACATACCCGTCTCTGTTAATGTAGATTTTCTTATTCACACATTTAATATTGTTTATAAATCACGATTTATGTGTAATAAAAAGACAAATTGTTATCATGAAAACTCTGTAATGGCATTTCCTGTTTTATATACTTTTCATTTTATATGCGATTACCTAACGGTTTCCTTCTTTTACAATCAATTAAAAAAAAATGAAAAACATTAGGTACTGACAAATTTGAACGTGAGTGATTTATAGTGTTTTTTAAGTAACCATAAAAGCCGGTAAGTTGATACATTTAATTATCCCGTTAAAAGTGTCCATTTATCACTAAAAATAAAACACATTTGGTGATAGCTACCAAGAAGCATTTTACGTAATTTAAAAGGATACGATCGATGCAATTAGCATTTACACCCAGGTATAAGTTTGCGCATTTCGAAGCGTTTGTGCCGAATAAAAAACAATTTCAATTTACGAAATGGGAAAGAAACAGACCTCAGAAGTGGAACCACGTCCGATAATCGCCGAAATATGAATTTCGAAAAAAATAAGTGGCCAATTGAAATAAAAATCGAACAATTCAATTAATGACACAGACATTGTTACGTGAAATTGTAACCGGTTAGTGGAGTGTTCTGTTAGTAAACGCAATTACCCCATTATTCCGTAAATTATACGTACCGTACCACCGAATAATTTGTTTAGGGATATATCAAACCGAATATTACTTTTTTAACGCAATTAACACGTATGCTCCAAAAACTTATTTGCAAAAAAATTATGTTATCAAAATAATTGAATCATCTTACCAGAAAAAAGCAAAATTCCTCAAGGCGTAAATTTATTTCCAGTTGAGCTGCTAAAGTTAGTACACGTTTATAATTCACTTATTGTTACAGCGATAATTGTGTGTGTGTTGTTGGTAAACAGTACGCGTGCACGCAATTTCGTGAACTTACACACGTTTACCACGAAAACTCGAGTTAAACTGACAGAAAGAAACCGACATCGGTTCGTATCCTCTCAATGAATAAACAGGAGCTTTACCGCGCATCGGCGTTGCGCTCGAACCCCCCGTCGTGACGCTTTTAGACGCTTTTCAAAACGATACAGGTGGATGATAATTTAATTAAGTGATGTTTTGTTAAGCAAGTGCCGATTTAAAACATTGTTAAATTTTTTTTCCCCAACGAACTTCCCTTACTTCCTCGATCCTATCCAACGTGTATCACATCAAAACGTGCAGTGGGGCGTTCATTTCCGGAACTTACTGTCAAAAGGGTGTAATTCTTTCGTAATTTGTTGCTAATAAATTTTTATGGGTCTGAGTTAATTAAACTTGAAATATTAAAAATTGTATACGCAACGTACGTGGCGTTTCTCACCCCTATCGCTTTTTAGATGCTGTCCAACAGTCCCTGTTTTGGTATAACTTGTCAATTTTAAAACCGAAATGTAGTGATAAATGTGAATGTACAGGGTGTCCCAAATTGGAGGGTGGTCATTCGGAAACCGTAACAGACGCGATGCCAGTTAAATTGAGGCAAAGTTCCGTAGGAAGGGCAGGAACTTCGAATACTTTCAAGGATATATGAAAAATATCTCAACTCTCAAGTTTCTTTTTTATTTTTGGTAGCTCCCTATATGCTGGCTTGATTAGATTTAAGGTCCGGGGTTTTCGTTTATGGTAGAAATTAGTGTAGAGCCGCCCGTTAAGGAAAATACGAGGCCGTATTAATTTGCCGTTTGCAACCGTTCCCGTATAAATATTTAAATCGTTTTTACTTCTTCTCGTCAATCGTATCTTGTCCAGAAGCAAGAGAGACCGAAAACTTCTGGTGACACCTGAAGCACTCCCGTTCCGCCGTGTCCTGCTGGTGTTCCGCCGACTTCCGCCTACAGATTTTGACTTTTAAATTACCGCTGGATATCGTTCTTTAAATTTAATTTTTGTAATCATACCGTTTATTTTTTTTTTTTTTGTAAAGGAGAACCGAAGTCACCATTGGTGCGAGCTTCCGGGGAAAGTTCGTCGCAATGTTATAATTCCCTTACATTTTTTGAATTTTTTGAAAGATGTGATGCTTTAGTCTGTCTCTCCATCTGTTCCTCGTCTAACTCGAGAACAAAAAGAGACAGCGATGTAAAACCTTCGCCAACAAATTTCTATTAGTTCAGGGATAAGTGCTATTGAATGTGAGCCGGATTAAAAGTCCGTTTTCCGAATACGAGATGAGTGGCAACAAATTGCCCTATTGAAAATCGTATATGCGATTCTTCATGTCTTGTTCTAGTTTAGGCCACATTAACTTCCAGAGTAGGCCGGCCCACTTTAGCCACCTCCTGACTACGAACTGCCATTCATGTCAGTCATGCAGCTTCATTTCTGCCAAATTTCAATCAATCCTGAAAGGAATGATACCTACATCCGTTGAGTACTCGTTTTGTAATCGCATTAAAAATTTTATGTAAATTGAATCCCCGTGGTTCGTCCCCATTGATACGTTGCGTGTTAATGTTACAGAGACTAGAGACTTACCATGCAGAAATTGTATAATTTATCATAAATGATTGTATAACAATCCTTAAGTAAATTACAGGTACATCATTAGCTCCATTTCACAGACAGGTTCTAGAAAATTTGGTGAGGATGTTAACATAAAACTGTGCATTCAAATTAAGTTTACAGTCATTCCCAATGTTTTATAAAATATTTTAATGCCTTTTTTATGTTAACAACCTGCAATAACAAAGTAATTATATTGAAATTTAACGCAATCGTAAAAGATTAATTACTAAACACATCAAAATTTTTTTACATAAAACATATAATTAAGAATGAAAAATAATTAAAAGCTATAGTTATAATAAATTGAGGCCAGAATACTGACATTATACAATGTACAAGTCTCTATAATATGGTGTATATTCTGATTAATGAGTAAGTGGATAATTAATACAATACACTCGGCGTGAAAACGAGCACATAATTTTTCTGTTTAATAAGCGTTTTGGAATTGATAAATCGTCATAATTACACAGCAAATTACACTAATTGTAAAACTATTATTGAGTATCACCATCCTCATCCTGATACTTTCAATGTTTGGAATAATTCAGTAAATCACCATCCTCAGTGTCCCAAATTTGAGTTATGACGCCATCACCTGTTTTTTTAAATGACACGTGTTTCAAATTCGTTTACTTTTCTTGGAATGCAGAACAGGTCCAAATTTTCAAATGCAGTACAATTGCCACACCTCTAATGTGAACGAAAATTTCTTCTCTTTAACGATAATTCGTCAAATAAGGTTTTAGAGTAGGTACCCTTTGAAAAACCACCCTGCTTAAGCACCTATTCTGTAAAGATACGAGGCGTATTTCGAAAGTGGTCCTAAGTAATATACAAATGTCCTTATTATTCTGCATTTCCTTGTTGTTCTTGAAGAATATATTTGCATAATTTTGGCGGTCCCTTAAATCTGTTCTAAATGAACATCTTAGGCCGCCAGCAGGAAAGCAGGTCGTTTTTGGGGTGATACAGTTCTCGGCTTTCATCTTGATTCCCGTTTCTTTTGGTGGACGCTTCCTTGGCCAAATTTCCCAGAACTCCCTAGGTTATGCGTAGTCCAGTGCCGAGGTTGCGAAAGGGTGTGCCATACTTACCCGTACTGGTGGCGATTTCCCCTCAACTTTTCGTGCACCAATAGGAATGTGAGTTGATTTCCGCCATGAATGGATCTATCGTGACCACTTTAGATTTGGCCAGTACCCTGGAGGATTTGTTTTAGCCTATTTACACACAAATCTTCTTTTAGTTTTGGATCAGTTAGCAGCACTTCGTTCTAACTTTTTCCCTCGCTTTTTCCTAAACTGGAAGTGGTGTTGTGGTGAAGCTTTCCTTTTTAACACCGAATGATGGGGAATGTAGTATTTTTCGTGTGCCTCCCCTGCATTTCGAGGATTTCAGCTCTTTATACTCTAGTAGGAAGACCTTGTACCTGGATTCCGTCTGTAGAAGGCGGGCGGTTGCCTTTACAAGTTCCTCAGCTTCTATTTTCAGCGACAGGCTTACGGTACATGGGTTGTTTATATTCCGCGTTGTTGTTTCTTGATACATTTCCTTGCATTGGTTATCTTCCTGCGATAGGGCTGTGTCTTGGGTTTGGACAAAGTAAATTCGCTCGGGGATTACATTATAACTGAAACGCGGTCTATTACCGACAGTTGGAAGATTTAACTGATAATATTTCTTGTAAGCGTTTATATGCTATTTATATCACACTCTTAATCTACGTCAATTACGTTATGTGCAGGAAATACTCATACGTCAACCTTGCCAACTATGCCAATATTTTGAATACAAATCAAAAAGAATTTCGTTACCTGAATTATAGCGTTTTTTGGAGTCGATGGCTTTCCCATGTTACAAATCAGCATTGCTTTTCTCGAAAAGGATGTGCCATTAAAAGTGGAAATACAGAACGAAACCCGGTTCTTCGGAAGGAATACTGCTGAAGTTGATGGATATTTCTTACGATTACTCCTTATGCAATTGATCGATCAATGAACTGTTTTTATCGTGTTCATTAAATGCAACCTTAATATGAGGTAATAATTAGAGCACTAAAGGCCCAAACAAGTTCAATGTCAATGTCATGATTTTTTTAAATAACGGAACTGTTACTGTAACCTCCTGATTTACTCGTCGGAAAAGTCCGCTCGTACTTTCAGATAATGTTTAGGTGTATTTCTACGTAATAATGCGGACGTACACTCATTTTACAAAGACAGTTTATGATATTGAATTTTTTACGATTAGGCCCTTCTAACTTAGTTTATGGAACATCCGTCCCTGCATTTGATGTGATACCATACGATAATGGTGTAGTATAAACAAAGACAAATTGTGGTTCTTTGAAATCCGTCAAATCGGGTGCTTTATTTGTAATGCATTTTACAAAAGCGTCGGTATAATTAGTATCTTAGGCATCAAACATTACAAAATTCAACGGAAGTGTAGTGAACTAGAAAATTGCCACCGGAATATATTTGAATAGTCATATTCGAATACGCATTAAACGTCTACTGAATCATACATGAAGTTCCTCATTTTCAGGTGATACCAGTCGGTAACTTGTGAAAACTTTGAATTAAGTACATTATTATGAACGAGTGAATGGCCAAACGAGGCATTTAAATATACGTCGAAAGTTTATCGAAAATTTTCCATTTCACGTTTTAACTCCATGAGAGTGGACGTATCATAGACTAGAAAATTGAATTCTCGTCCGGCCCTTAACGTTGTATAAAGGCGCTTTTTGATTAATTTCACTTATACATCCTATTGCTTTATCCACATAACTAACACAATTTCTTACTTGCACTTAATGCGTTCCGTAATGTCATGTGTGTGTAGAGAATGCAGTAAAAAAGTAGATTCGGTCCTCTTAATGGATTCCTCACTTCTCGGATAAGTGCGTCCCTTCTGTCCCCCCAACAGTCACATCACACATCCAGGATCCTTTAAAAGCCTGCAGCCCAGTCACTTGTCAGTGCTAAAACCTTAGCCTTTGAAAGAAGCACCCCCATCCACTACTCTAAGATACTCTACTCAAATCTTGTAAGTTTCTGTTCGTTTTAACGGAGAATATATCAAGCGAAGCTTTTGCTTTTACCATCGCTAAGTTCGTGTACATGAACACCCTTGAAGTCTAAGCCTGATATTTTTGTGGGTTAGTAATAGTCGACCTGTTCGACACGACTTTAAAATGGGTAATGCATGTAATAACTTACAATGATGAATGTACGTGCTTCTCTTCTGCATTCAAATATGAAATCAACGGCTATTTTTCTCTGACTGTATAAGTATTACGAATTGTTAGACTTTCTTGTATAAGCTTGAAAACCAAAAAGGAGTACGTTTATGTGAATCGCTTATGGTAACCTTCGCTATGTGGAAGCGCTAGAGTAGGAATAAAATAAAATACTGTGTTAAACAAAGAAGCATTAT